GAGATACTTTTAATTAATCAATTGAGATAATGTTATATTCTGCGTGTTATTTTTAAAAAAAAATAATAACAATTATTATTTACTTATTTATTTTTAAAATAGTGAAGAATAATAATATGGATTTTTGTTGACAGGTAATGCGTGGGTTAGGGTTAGCGTTTATTACAAATGCATTAATAGAGTTAGAGTTGTCTCATTTCACAAATTAACATGTGTCTCATGATCATATATAAGAGGAGGGAGAACTTGAGGTAGCCGGAGAACTCGGAGATTTGAATCAAGATTTTAGCGTTCATCAAGATAAGAAGATGTATGAGAATCTTGTTTTAGAGTGTGAGTTATCTATTGGGTAGCGCGATTAGCTCCCAATCCCATAGGTTATATATGTATATATATATGTATGTACAAAAGATTAAACCCAAATCTTATTTTTGATTGTAATCTGTATATGATGTCTCTTGAATTTCTAAACATGTTACTATACTATAAATGTGCTTTAGACCTATGAATCTTTATTTGTTTATGAATCTATGAGTGTATGCAAATTCCTAGGAAAACCTTAAGGATGTGTGTAATCAATTATTGGTCTTAGAATAATGGATTGAAGTCTAATTCAACCCTACAAAATCAGCTTGTAAGGTAAGGGTTGTTTTCCACTTATATACTATTAATTGCCTAATCTCTAGTCGATGTGGGACTTGAGTTTTTCCCAATACACCCTCGTCACGTCCAGCACTATTGAGCTTGGTACGTGAATAAATGGTAGGTGACCCTTTTTTTAATGATCTAGGATTGACGGGACTTGAATACACCCTTTCATGTCCATGGTGCATGTATTAATGAATGGTAGGTGGCCCTTTTTTTTAATGATTTGGCGGGACTTGAATACACCCCCTCATGCCCATGATGCATGTTTTAATGGTGGGTAGTCCATTTTTAAGAATCTAGGATAGTTCTGATACCATCTTAGAATAGTAGATTTAAGTCTAACTCAACCCTACAAAACTGGCTTGTAAGGTAAGAGTTGTTTTCCACTTATATACTATTTAATTGTCTAATCTCTAGTCGATGTGGGACTTGGGTTTTTCCCAATACACCCCCCTCACGTCTAGCACTATTGGACTTGGTACGTGGATAAATGGTAGGTGACCCTTTTTTTAATGATCTAGGATTGGCGGAACTTGAATACACCCCTTCATGCCCATGGTGCATGTATCAATGAATGGTAGGTGACCCTTTTTTTTAATGATTTGGCAGGACTTGAATATACCCCCTCATGCCCATGGTGCATGTATCAATGGTGGGTGACCCATTTTTAAGAATCTAAGATAGTTTTGATGACATCTTAGAATAGTAAATTTAAGCCTAACTCAACCCTACAAAACTGGCTTGCAAGGTAAGGATTGTTTTCTACTTATATGCTATTTAATTGCTTAATCTCTAGTCGATGTGGAACTTTGTTTTTTCCCAATAATTGGTGAAACTATTGTATACAGTAATTACTTATATTAACATAGAAACCCTTTTTTAACATGAGTTTGTATAAGTGGTGAGACTTGCTATGTGAGTAAATTGCAAATCTTGCGATATCATGTTGGGTGTCACCTTGGGCTTGTCAGGCATAAAAGTTCGAAATGCTCGCAACATCATGAACACTAGGTGTTAGCTTGGTCATGCCAGGTGAGGGTGCTACAAGGGGCTCCTTGTTATGATTTTGTCCGAGAAGAGTCACATCGGGCATGATTCTTCTAATGGCTCGTAGCCTTGATCACTTTGAACGTAGGGCACCCCACGTTGAGCCTTGTTCTATACCTACGACTGATATATGTAGAACTATGTATTTAATTAAATTAGCATTGATTGATAAATTACATGAATTAGTTGAATGAGATAGTGAGTTATTTGTGTAACGTGAAATAAGTGAATATTGTGTGATGTGAATATGAATACTTGATGTGTGGAATATGAGAAATGATTATGTGATAAGTCTAAGTATAACTTAGCAATGAAGTGAATTGTGAATTGAGAGACTATGTGGATATGATTTATGTGACCATGCATGAGAGTTTGTATGTCATTCATTATTTTCATGAATCTATTTTTGTGTGATGAGTATGATATGAAATATGTTGTAAGGGAAGGTCCTCTTTAAGTAAAATTTTGGGGATTTCATGACCTTAAGGATAGCTAGGTTTGGGAACCCCAATCCCACCACTTTGTGTGCATGGGGGTGAAACGGCCAACGTAACTATTCCAATGTGCCAATTGGTGTATTTTTTCCTAGTGTAGAATGTTGTGATGGCTTGACCCAACATGAACTCTTAGGCTACTAAGCTTTTAGGCAATGATAAAGTATTTTACTGGCACCATATGCATGTAGTTAAGAGAGGTTTGTTCTTGCATGAATATAGTATACCCTTGTGTTTGAATAGTGACATTGATGTGATGAGATAAAATATAATTAGATGATTATAAACTTGATTGTCATATTGTTATTAATGGGATAATTAATATTGATTATTTTGTATGTATGGCTACCCAATCATTTTCTACAGCAATAGTTGGAGTGTGATATATTCTCACTCCCTTTTTTTCCTTCATGTTGTGTTTTTATTTGTCTATGCAAATGACTTTGATTTTTGAGAAATTTGAATTATTGATGAGTTTGCTCTGATAGGATGTGATGACATTGGGGCTCTAGTTAGAATTTTTTTCTTGTTTTATTGCATTAAGAATTATAGTTTCTTTCCTTAGGAAACGTTTTCATTTTATTTGTTATTCTTTGTAATTACTTTAGTTTTCAGTTTTGTTAGTTTGGAATTCAAATGTGGTACCTTTTGCCCAAAGTTTTGATTAATTAATGAAGTATTTTTAGACCCATAATTTTATATTATTGAATATATGAATGAAGGCTAGAAAGTGTCATACTTATTAATCACTAATGAGGAAGAAACAATTTATGCCTCTATGCATTTTATTTAAAATAATAAAAAATAAAAATAACAGAGGTTATTACAAAATGTGAATCAAATGAGATATATAATATATAATTAGAAAAGAATAAAATAATCTTAAACAAAATTGAAGAGTAAAGGTAGTTACAAAATAAAAGAGTAATTATTATTGATAGAGTGGATAATCAAAAAAATTTATAATTTTTTTTCTATTTTGTCCTTTAAGGATATAATGGTGGGAAAAAATAATATCACTAGTGCAAAAATTGGATTTAAAATCGGAGTTTTAAGATCGGTTACAAGGTAATCGATCTTAAAAGTGACGCGGTGGCAATTTTGTAAATAACATAAACACTTTTAAGATCAGTTATTTTATGACCGATTTTAAAATCGGTTATTTCAGAACTGATTTTGTATGTAGTATACAAAATCGGTTATTAAATAATCGATTTTAAAAGTATCGTCAGAAATCTTTTATATTTCCCTCCATTCTCATTCTCTTTAATCTTTCCCTCCATTCCTTTTTTTACTCTCTACGCTCTCATTTTCTAAAGTCTCCAATAAGGTAAATTTCGTTGTCGTTTTCGTTTTCATTTTCGTTTTCTCATGCTCTTCTTGTGTCTCTTTTCGTTTTCTCATGCTCTTCTCTTGTCTCTATTTTCGTTGTAGGTTCATTTTGGATAAATTTCGAACCTGGAACGGCCCGTTCTGCAAGGAGAACAGCTTGTTCTCCATGGAGCACGACCCGTGCTGCAAGGAGAACGACCCATGCTGCAAGGAGAACGGACCGTTCTCCATGGAGAATGACCCGTACTGAAAGTTAAATTTTAGGCCTTTTGAACAACCTGGAACGGCCCGTGTTCCAATTTTGGAACGGGCCGTTCCAGTTTAATTTTTTTCGCCACCCAGACTTTTAAGATCGGTTATAAAACAACCGATCTTAAAAGTTAACTTTTAAAATCGGTTGTTTAACCGATTTTAAAAATCTAACTTTTAAAATCGGCTCTTTTAAAATCGGTTACGGAACCAATTTTAAAAGTTAAAAATAACCGATTTTAAAAACATTTTTTCCCACTAGTGTATATAATAAAGAATAATTATAAAATTTTATATTCAAGTCTTACCTCTATAAGATTAATTAATTTTTAATACTATTTTTTATTACTTAAAAATTTAAAAATAAAATCGTTCAAAAAATTGTGTACATCAAGACTTAAATATACTTAAACATATAAACTAAAAATTTATTTTAGTTACAAACATCAAAAACACGGGGGAAAATCTTCAAACTATTTTAGATTATTAGAATTAAATTACAGTATAAAAAAGATTATTAGGATTAAATTTACATTCACATCTTATAAAATTACTCAAATAAAAGAAATGAATGAGTATATGACTATTAACTTGCGTCACCTCACCGACATGCATATATGTGTGTCTCAATATTTAGGGTTATAATTATGAACCCCCTGTAGATTTCGGGTACAAAATGATTCGGATTGATCATGACCAATATAAATATTGGTGAGCTCGTTTCTGCATTATTCTCGCTATCTTGGCAAATTTCATTGTGAAAGCAGAAAGTTTCGCAGGATTGATAAAAGAAAAATCCAGAAAGAGGAAATTAGGTCAAAATGAGTTGCTTTAACGTTGGATGGGTTCCACAAATGTTACAAATGATTGTTGTTGGAGATCCGTCAAGGTTTTATATTAGAGGCAGAGTGGACCGATCATCATCATCATTCTTCTCCTTTTAATAATCTAATTAGCCTTAGCCCTTAAACTTGAACTTAATCATCAAATTTTGGTTCTATCCAAAGCGCCTAATTCTGCCACCATGCTACTGATTAAGATGTTAATTGAACACAAGAAGGCCATGCAAATGATTTGGGCACATGGGACTTCTTACTTGTTCAATATTTTTTGGGCCTTCCAATATGGAATATAATCTCAAGCTTTAAATGCTCTCAATTGCTACCCTTTTTATATATACCCTCCACAAACCAAACCATATATCTCCATGATAACTCCATATTTGAATAGGTATCAAATTAAGGTAGAAAAAAAAAATGCACAAGCACAAGGCACGTAGAGGAACCGAGAGTTTTGTTGTTATACAAATAAGAGGTAGTAGTACTGAAGAAGAAGAGAAAGAATTAGAAGAACAAGGCATTGAACAAAAACAAATCCCTCAACCTCATCCAAAGTTGAACCTCTCTGCCATGAAGCTCTTCCAACGCTTCCGCAAGATCTTGATGCGCTTCGTGTTCTCTGTGCCTTCTCGTCGCTCCTCGGATTCAAGGCACAAAGTTTCTGACAGGTTTGAACCGCCGAAGACGTCATGCAGTTCCTACTATTCCTCTTACTCTCATTACAATGAGGCCATTGCGGATTGCATCGAGTTTTTCAATAAGTCAGCACAAGATGGCGTTTTGGATGGTCGAAAATCTGATGTTGTCTGAACCTATACCTTTCGTTAATTAGTGTCCTCTCTCATATGTGCCTCGTTATACTTATTATATTGTTTTCCTCATGTATATGGGAGCATTGTATTTTGCATACATAATGGAATTACTTCAATTCGCTGGCTTCTTTTAATTTTATGTTCATAACTTTTCAATTATATATATGCTTCGATCGTGGGTGTATACAGTGATCCCACTGTTGTGTTAAAATCATAGAATAAATGATTAGGCTGCATATATGCATGTCCAGAGTGATTGAACAATTGGATCTACCCACCCTAAATTTGAGCTTATATACTAATTAACCATGTCAAGATCAGAATCTCAGTATCCATCATCGGTAATGATCAATAGGAGCTGCAATAAAAATAACATAATACAGCCAAGTACTATATGAAGGGGCTACTTTTCCTGTGTGCATATTATGTTTCTCTCTCTAGTGTACAGCTGACACATGAATATTTTTCATTGACTTAGCTTAAAAGGTGTGTTATATATCCTCTAAAATCACAGTGATATACTATGAAAAAAATGAAAATAATTTGTTGTTCTTCCTTCATCACAAAAAAAAAAAAAAAAAAAGAGAGAGAGAGAATAAAATTGATTAATTCTCACCATAAAATCAATTCAAACAACTATTGGACTAGAAGAATAATTTGACTTAATATTTAAATGGATATGTAAATCAATTTAATGTTTTGACTATCATTAAAAATGAATTATATGAACGTACATTCAGTGTTTATCTTTCCTACGTTTATCCTTAATATAATAGGTAAAGTGGGCAAGAAAACATGGTAAATTTATTAAGAATGTACTACTTTAATTCAAATTTAAGTCCAATAAAATCTAGTCAATTAGAATAGATTTGTAAATTCGTACAGCTTAAAAGGTTTCAAAATGTAACATACACATCAATGAATTCCTTAAAATATTTATTTCAAACATATTTGCCACATTAAAAGAAAAAAATAAAAAAAAATTATTTAAAAGAAGTTAGGACTCGTAGGTTTATTTTTCCATAGATGTAATTACTTCATTGACTCGTATATCCTGTCTATTAAATTTAATACATTTTTAGAGTGATTCGAGTAATTATCTTTTTAAAGCATGATAACATCTTATTTTTAACTTATTTTCCTATTTAAATTTTAATTCTTTTAAATAAATTTTGTACATCTTTCATAATTTGATATTTTATAAAATATTTTTTATAACTTTAAAATTTACTCAAATCGATCTAATAATATTTGTAAAATATTTTATTTATCAATAAGTCTTGTGTGTGTTAATTTTATAAAATGTTTAAGTGAGTTGAATTTAAGAAACACGTCAGAATTAGGTTTTAAGACTAATTAATTAAGGATCCCTTTAAATAAATAACTTATTTAATATCCTATTTAATAAACTTTTATATAATAAGAATTTTTGTTATAAGTACTTAAAATTCAATAAATTATTGTATTTAGGTATACATGTAAAAAAACACTTATACAATTTTAAAGGATTTATATGTATTATGATTTAAGTACTTTTAAGATGTTATCTTATTTTAAAAAAATTTAAAAATTACAAATTAAATTTTGAATAAAAATAAAATAAAAATAATGAAGGTAACTAAATAATTTTAAAAGAGGACATTATACATCACAATAATATTATAAATAATAAATAATAATTAGTTACCATTCACCTAATTTTAATTTATAAAAAAATAAAATTAATTAATAATAAATATGAGAAATCAATTATATATAATCATGCTTAAAATTAAGAATCATAAATTTTAAAAAATTAAAAATTAATTCTATATTTTTTTTTGATAGACCAAAAAATTAATTATAAAGAATACAATGGATATTCTAATCCATTACAAGAAAACACAATAATCAAAATTCTAAAAAAGTCAATCCAACAATAACAACCTCACCAATTCAATATAACAAAAGCCAAGCACAGTGAATGGACTCTTACTACATTTAAATCAATTCTATATATTTTTATAAAATTATGGTTAAAAAAGTATATAAATATCAATGACAAAAATTATTACTATTTAGAGAAAAAAAATATACTAAATTTTTTTATAATAGGGAAATATGGATTTTGAGAAGAAGAGGTAGAAAAAAAAATTGAGAGAAGAGAAAAAAATAAAGAGAAACAAAAACTTTTGCTAAAGTGTAACATTTATATTTGTTAAGGGAAGAAAATATTTATTTTAAAACAATAAGTTATGAAGAGCAGTGTAGTATTTGCATCTCTGAGAAAATATTAATGTAAAAGATTTTTTAATAATATTTTTGTAAAAAAAATTTAATGAAAGATTTAAAAAATAGATAAATTGTCATGTATTGAAATTTATCAAGAGAGGATATTGTAATTTTCAACATAAGATGTTAATAGAATATTATAATATTAGTATTTTTGAGAAGAGAAGAGTGTAATTTACTAAAAATATAAAATTAATTTTTAGTGAAAAATGGAAAATAAAAATAAAAATTATTTATATTAGTGATAATAAGATTAGAACTTAGTATTTTTCAATAATTTTTTACATTAATTAAGTAATAAATTATAATAGACAGTTTATTAAAACAAGTTCAAAATAGTTTATGATTTACTCAAAAGATATTTTATAAGTTTATTTAAAAATTATTTATAATTATCTATTAAAAAAATCTTCACAGCAAAAATTAAAATTGAATTCATGTCCTTATCAGATGAGAGTCTGTTACTTATCAAATGAATGAGGTCTTAGTGGAATAAAGCGCTTTGATTGATTGGGGTTTAGGGTTCAAAATTAAACAAGATTGAAATTGTAATTATGGTGTTTTATTGCGTGAACCACACTCGACATGTATCCATATTCAGCTAGCGACAGCTCATGAGTTTAGCTACATTGTAAGGGCCATTTGCCATTAATGTCTTTTACAGAGCACATGAAAATATACTTCTGACCAAAAAAAAAAAAAAAAAAAAAAAAA